TGATAATAACACGCTGATAATAACACTACTACAATGGGGGTTTCCTAAAATGGGGGAAAAAACCCAAAGCATCCATTTATGGGAAACCCCCATTGTTTCCATTTTAGGTTTGTGTTTGTGGGTGTGTTTTTCCCATAAGAATGGAAAAACATCGGGTTTATGCTGTTTTTTTTTCCATGTGTTTCCATCATTTTTCCATCCAGCTACCCTCTGGTAATTTAACATAGCTATTGAAAATGACCCAGTCGAAATAGTTCATTTTCCCATTAAGAATGGTGATTTTCCCATCAGTTTTTTCTATGTTTACCAGGTCTTTTGTAGCTGGAGTAGCACCATGACTCTCTTCCAATCCTGCACCGGCACCGGCGATGCCAACTTTTGGATAGAAATCCAGGATTTGCGGCGCCAAAGAGGCCTTGGAGTTGGTTGCTACGCTCTGGTGATTTAAGTTGGTTTATAAGCCCCATTATGCCATTAAGTACCTATACACACACATATATATATATACATATACTTTAAAGGAAAAACATGGCTTCAACCAGGGCTTCAACATTAAATGCAGTGAACTGCATATATATGTATAGATATATATTAGATAGATAAACGATTATATCATATATATATATGCATATATTGACCTTTGGTTTTAACCAACTTAGGTCCCAGGGGTATCATCTTTCAGCTTCAATCCTAAGGGCCACTGGGATTTTCTGCTGGTTGCTAAGGCTTTCCCAACAGACCATGGAACCATCAATGATGGGATTGGGAAATTTTCCACCATAAACCATAAAACATCTTAAACCAGTTAGAGATTTCTCCATAAACCACTTTAAATTTTCTCCAATATGATGGTTACATCTTAAACCACTTGGAGATTTCCTAAGATGGTGGTACCCCCAAATCATCCATGTATAGATGGGATTTTCCATGAAATAAACCATCTAGCTATGGGGGTATCCCCATTTATGGAAATCCCCACTTGTTTACCACAAAAAAAAAAAATGAGTCATCAGGCTAGATGCATTTTTTGATTTACCAGATTCACCGGGTAGAGGTAGTATCAACCAGTATAGGCCCAATATATGTGCCATGATCGAAACATGCTACATGGTTTAGGGATTTTTATGGTCATCAATCCCCCTATCTTCTTCTTCTTCTTGCGTGCCATAGGTATGGTTTGTGAAAAAACGGATGTGAAACTAACTTAGAAAGGCAGGTGCCATACCCGTAGGCTCCCCGCAGCATCGTTGCCCCTCAGTACAGGAACTCCTTGAAGTAGAACTATAGATTAGTTCGACTTAGTTACGATGTCCAGGATACAGCCTGGTAGGAAAATGTTACTAGATTTCTTTGTTGATAGCTGCTTGCAGTATTTGAGCAAGTTGTGCGTTGGAATTGTTGAAATCACTTTGGTCATTACGAATTTTACGCCATATCATAGTCAAGGTGTTTTGCGTCCATTGTTTCCTGGGTCTGCCGACCCGTCGAAACAATACCTCAACAGGTGCGGCGGTATCTTTTTTGAAACTGACCATTCTCATAGGGCTGTCATTGTCTTGTCTCAAAACTTTCGCTGCAAGTGCGATGCGACGATGGGCCAAAATGTCCTGAATTGGTTCAATTTTGGTTCCATGATGGTTTGCTGCAATGTGCAAGTTTGCTCTTCTGAAAACCTCCTCATTTGTGTTTGCACGATTGATGTAGGTCGGAGTCATGCCTAGAATCTTTCGCAAACCTTTCAACTGAAAAGATTCTAATCGTGAAAGGAGAGCCACTGGAATCTCAATTGTTTCCAAGGCATAGAGAAGTTTTGATTGAATGACTGCATTATAAATTAGAATTTTGTTTCTGGTACTGCATTGTGCTTCTTTCCAAAAAATATCCAAACTCTTCCAAGTCGCCATAGCTGATGCAATTCTGTTGGACACTTCTGACGCAATGTTAACATGTTTGGTCAAAATTCCGCCCAAGTAAACGGCTTCTTCCACGTGCTTCACGCGAGATCCATCTTTAAAGCGAATACAGTTGTGACCGTTCATTGCCAAAACGTGACATTTGTCGTGGTTGAGTTTTAGTCCGTAGTAAGCTGATTCGTCTTCTATGGCATGAAGCAACAAGTTCATGCCAAATGTGTTTCGGGAAATCAGGAGCGTGTCATCTGCGTACAGGACTTCATTAAAACTGATTTGGTCAAGCCTACATTCTGAAAGGTCCCTGTAGTGTTCTACGCCAATGTCGTGAAACAGAACAGTCATGACGAGTATAAACAGAAATGGGGAGAGTGGGCATCCCTGACGTATGCCGGCATCTTGAGATTTAGCATGCGATAGAAAATTTTCATGTTTCACTTGGAAGGAAAGGTCCGTGCAAAAACTTGCAATAAGATTTCTGAATTTTCTTGGTAAGTTCAACCTCTCCAAGGCCTGCATCATCCGCGGGTGTGAGATCCGGTCGAAGGCTTGCTTCCAGTCTAACATACATATCACGATATTGTCCCCAGATCGTTCTCCCAAATCTTGCAACCTTCTGGCTATGAATAACGCGTCCGTGGTGGAACGGTTTTTTCTGAACCCGAATTGGGTATTACAAATGTATGGGTCAATTACGTCAGAAAGCCTCTGTCTAATGATTTCAGCAAAGATCTTATAAATAGCATTCAACAGAGAGATGGGTCTATAATTAGCAATGTTTTCAGTGCCTCTTTTTTTAAAAATAGAAACAACTTGGGCATTTAAGAAATCTGATGGGATAGCTTCCTTGGACCACCACCCATTCAATACGGAAAGGAGAGCTGCTCTGTTTTGTACATCCAAATATTTGAATAATTCAGCCTGAATGCCATCAGGGCCGGCAGCTTTGTGGTTCTTCGCTTTTCGTAATGCTGCATCAAGTTCTGTCATAGTTATTTGATCAAGATTATAGGGCAAGTCACTTTGGATGATTGATCTCTTAGTAATTGACGGCGGTAGGATGTCAGCTTTCCACTGCACAGCATGTAAATAATCAGCAACTGCTCCTGCACGCCCGCGGGGGCCGACCCTATTTCCATCTTTATCTTTCATTTTGGTGAAATTGGGTGTCCGCTTCTTTTTGATGATTTTTATTCCAGCCCATTGCTCTCTAGATGGTAAGGTATCTTTCAACTGTTCGAGGATATGTCTTTTTTTATCTTTCTTAGCCTCTTTTTTGATCTTCTTAGTAAGTTCAGATAAGATATCATGATTGCCATTGTCATGTTCTCTTTGCCTTTGCAAGATCAGGTCCCATGTATGTTCAGAAATATACGAACGACGTCTGCCGAGCGGTGTTGGTCTCAAATTTACACGTGCTGCTTTACGGATAGAATCAAGGAAGGTTTTGGCTTCCGCATCACTCGCCTGGCGCAGTGTATCTGAAATGAACTGGTTATAACTGGCTTTTTCCAGTGGAGTAGGGGGACTATATGTAATCTTTTTGACCACGGTAGAACTAAGCTGCTTCCTTCTGACGCGGCATTTCGCACAAACAATGAAGTGATCTGATTCAGTGAAGATTTCAGGGGATGAGGACACGTCAACCAAAGTGTTTTTCCACCTGTCAGGAACCAAAACAAAATCAATCTGAGCAAATCTATCCGGGGACCAGGGAGGTCCACCTAGCACACCAGCTTCTCTGAAGGTCACCTGCTTTGACACAGGTTTTTGAAATAATGTGTTACCAATGTGGAGGTCATGTGCCAAACAAAATTCTACAAATAGGCTTCTGTTCTCAAATGAAGCTGGGCTAGAATTGTGGATCAAGAAGTTCAAGCCACGTCCAAAAATGTGCTGTCCAATACAACAAGCTTCATTCTCAAAACGGGCATGCAGTCTTGCATTGAAGTCTCCTACGATGAAGGTTGGATGACTATTGGGGAAACTGACCAAATTACGTTCCAGCGTTTCATAGAAATCATTCTTTAATCTGGTCTCAGTACCGCTTTGTGGCGCATACGCATTTAGGATGTGGAGAGGCGGCCCAATCATATCCAAAGTTACGGTCATGATTCGACCATCAATTTGCTTAAAGTCTAAGAGTGTAGCTTTTGCTTTTGGGGAAAGAATAACACCTGTGCCTCCATGTTCAATGTCAATTGGGGGTGCATGTCGGACTCCATTTCTTTGGCGGCCTCTAGCCGTATTTTCTGCTCTGGTTTTATCGGCTTGTTTTCTTTGAGCATCCGTTATGCTTGTGGAGTATATGAAACAAAAGCCCTCAATCGTTTCGGTCGAATTTGTATTTATGTGAGTTTCCTGAAGAAAAAGCATATCTAGGCCGAGTTTCCTCATGGAGTGAACCAATACTTCTTTTTTGGTCACGCTGTGTTCACTCGCAAGACCACGGCAATTCAATGAACCAAATTTAATGTAAGAATTCATAGTCCATCTGGCAGCAGAGTCTTGCTGATAGTTAGGGTCATCAGGTTTTTTGGGGTTACTTAAGGTCTTTTCTTTATTACGATATTTGTGGAAACCGTCTAGCCTGGAATGTGCAGCAGTAAGGAAGAAGTTCCGTGCGTCAAGGCATGGCTGAGGGGTATCCTGAGCCAAATTGTGAAAACCCGCCGGCTTGGCCTTGCCAAAGCGGGTTTGCAACACAGCCTTCTTATAAATGCGGTATGAAATTCTGTTCTCTCTGCGGTTCTCTGTTCGTTTAGTTTTTCGTTTGTTTACAGCGTCTCTTGAACGTAGGCCTCTTTTATGACTCGCTCTTGGCAATTCGAGTTTGTGTTTTGAGTGCTGTGTTGTGAGACCATTTCGTCTCCGCAGAAAACTCCGGTGGGAGATTCGCGGCTGACCCAGCCCACCTATGGAAGGTAGGACGCCAGCGTTTAAAAATTGGGATTCGGTTGTTTTTTGTCTAGTCTCTTTTTGGTGACGAAGTCCGCAGAGCTGCGGTATCATTGGAGCAAAACTAGAATTGGTGTCGTTTTGGTTTCGAAGTCCGTGTTTCCACGGTATGCTTGGCCAGCCGCAAAGCCCCTATGGATCCTCATCGTCCTCAAGCGGACGGACCCTTACCAAATGCACCTTGTAGAGGTAATCTTGGACGCCTCGGGCTGTGCTTGAGGAGGATTTTGCCTTTCCCTTTCCTTTTCCTTTTTGCGTTGTGAAGTCTTCGTCTGAGTGTCGTGTTGTTACTTTTTTCCAAGCAGTTGCTAATCCTTCTTCGGCCATTGGGAATAGATCCTCCCGGATGAGAAGCTTCACTGTCCCATCCGCGTCGTTGAAGACACACTTCAACAAGTTGCCGTTCTCTGTTGCAATGATGTTGGCAGCCCAGTTCTTGTGAAGGTTTCTTGTTTCTTGATGGTATTCGCAGTTTGGGGTGTCATTGATCAATTGTAGGAATGCCTTCATGGGGATGCTCCTGATTCGGTCGGGTGTGGAGATTTGCTGCTTGACCCTCAGGAAGTAGGGGGTGCCAGAACTGTCTCTTGGAATGCTGTTGTCGGAATGCCAGTATGGCAAGGGGTGTCTGTCTGATGTGATTCTGCGGGCGCTTTCCAGGAACTTCTTTGTAGCCCATACACTCCTGAAGTGTAGGATGGAGATTCGGGAAAGGACTTCACCTTGCCGTTTAAGGATGATTTATGGATTTCGGAGCTTGCCATGTTTAAGATCATGGATCCTGCCTGCCGCAGGCACAGCAAACCCTTGGGGTCAGCTGCGCAGGCCGTGATCTCGCACATAGGATCTGAGGTTGTCCTGGCACCAACGATGGCTATCCGAAAATGCTGGGTCAAGGGCCCAATTGATGGCCATTTTCACGGGGAAAATGAAGATTTCAACCATCAAAACCTTTGAGAATCATTGAGATCAACCGTTTTCAGACTGTTCTTATTTTCAACCCATCTCCCGTCCTCAACTGCATCTTATCCTGTCGCGGCAAATGTTGTGCTCGGATGAGGTGCACTCGCCAGGCGCCTCACAACGGGCAGCGTTGCTGGGGTCCGCAACTACTTCACAACCCAACTTGGGGTGATTGGTTCATCAAAAACCAATGGATAAGGAAAGGCTGAGCAAGGCCCACCTTTCATCCGCGAGGGCTGTGGAAAGGGACGCCAGGTGATGGAATAGGTCAGTGTGGCGGATCCGCGCCAGCCGTAGTCCCCCACCACGTGGTTCCCGTCCTGCAGGGGTTGAAGCAATAGAAACAGTGCATTCAACTCATTCAACCAACAAAACTATGACTGGCCAACTGATGTGGTGAACTGGTGATTTTGGCGGGATCCTGGGGTTGAGAAAAAAAAAGATCCAAACCACCAAGTCCCACCAAATAACCAGTAGTTCATCTTTCGCAATTCGAAGAAAAACATCCAAGAACATGGAACTGATGATCATGGGAGGATGCCCAAAAAAAGAAGATTTGGAACTACCCTCTGGTAAACTAACAGTCTGCTATTGAAAATGGCCATAGAAATAGTGGATTTACCCATTAAAAATGGTGATTTTCCATAGTTATGTTAGTTTACCAGAGGGTATCCCTTCTCTTTGTTTGCCGATGTTTCTTCAACAGTTCGCGAGCAGGGCCTTGGAGTTGAGATCAGCACATGTCTCAGGAGTCTCCTGGATGCACAAAAATCCCCCAGGAATGAGAGCATACTTGCTAGTCCATAGATAATAAATATACAGTAGATATCGTAAAGATCTATAGATACAATATATATATATATAATCCATACGTCATATACATATGTATACATAATGTATGGATATTATATCATAAATATTTATAAATATATAACATCCCATAGATATCATTAGATATATATATATATACATATATACATACATATATGTAGATAATGATATTTCTAGATGGTTTGGCCACCACTTCGCACCTCCACCGGCACACAGAGACGACCAATGAAGTCGTTCCTCACTACGGCATGGAGCTGTATGGCTCTGGTAAATCAACAGTTCGCTTCCAAAAATCACCATGAATAATGGTTAATAATGATTAATAATGGTGATTTACCAATATTATAATGGTGAATAATGGTTAATAGTCATTGATTATTCCAATTAATAATAGTGAATAATGGTGAACAATTGGAATAATGTGGGTAAAACAATAGGATTTACATGATTTACATGGATGATGGTGATTTAATGGGGAAAAATCCACGGAAATCCCTTAGAAAATGGAGGTTTTAATGGGAATAATGTGGGTAAAACAATGCCATAAACCACCCATGACTGGGAATGGTCAACATACCAGAAATAAACATGGTGATGACTGGGGGATGGTTTATGGCGTTGTTTTACCCACATTACCACAATACTAGGAAAATCATCTACAAATGCGCCATCTATACCATAGCAAACTGTCAAACTATCAGAGGGTACAAAACTGTCCAACAGCAAACATTTGAAAGGAAAACAGCCTACAAGTTCCGTTGCACCCCACTGGGCTGCCCAGCTCAGACATGGAATCGAAATCGCAAACTTTGAAGGTCAACAACGACCACCTTAGCTGCACGTCTCATCAGCATCATCTCATGCCATGAAATGCATGGAAACCTTGCTACACCCAACTGCCTACGGGTGGAGCAAAGGTGAGTTCCTGGCTGAGACACTTCTTGGTCCGGCTGGGTATCTAAGAAACTGTGATCGAGAGCATCAAACCGGAACGGAACTGAAAGGGGTAGAAATCCACCAAAATCCAAGAGTAAAACAATCCGCCGAAATGTCAACTTCCGTATTGGATTGTTGAGGTAGCGAAACTCCAAATTCTTGAACTAAGATGGCCACCCAGTATGTGGTTCATGCATCCTGATGACCATGGTTGCTTCAGTTGTTTCACAAGGATTTTTGTTGTTTTGATATCAAAGTACCTCAATCCATGGTCTCCTCTATACACTGAACCCCCACGATTTGATGACTCAGAATTGCTCATGGTGACCTCCATTCTATCCAGATAAATCATGACAAATCCCAATTGAATTCCGATTTCTTGCCAATTGGTTTGTTTCTGAAAATTTCCCCCATTCAAACGGTTTTAATTTGATCTAAATTGGGGGTATCCCCCATTTTCAGACAAACCCAAATGATATCAAATTGGTGATATATCCCATGAAAATTATGTCATATCTCCATTGATTCCCCACTATTGCCAGGTCGCTTGCTACAACTGAATCGATGTTGATATGCTCGCGCTGCCTCCCAAGCCAAGCGGTCGATACCACCTAACAGCTGAGCGGAAAAATGCAGAGAAATCGCCGGTTCAGATCTATAGTCGTCTATATCTGTACCTAATATAAATATAAAATACATGCATATGTATATGTAACATGTGTATATACATATATGTATTTACATGTGTTATATAATTATATATATATATATGTCGTATACTATTTCAGGTCTTTATATATATATATACACATACGTGCGTGTGTCTATATAATGTGAATATACATATAGACATATATAAATTTAAATATATTTATATATACATACATACATACATACATACATACACACATACATACATACATACATAACATTACATTACATTACATTACATTACAGTACATTACATTGCATTGCATTACATTACATTGAAGTAGTACCGCACAAGGCGGTGGCGGAAGTTTCAAAAATAGGAAACCTATAGGAGAGGTTGGTTGTTGTGAATCACGGATGGCAGAGCGAAGCCACTGATGGAACGACACGTCGTTGAGGTCTATTCTCTTTCTCTCTCTTTCTGTTTCTTTCTCTGACTACCTACCTACCTACCCACCTATCTATCTATGTATCCATCTATCTCTCTCTCTCTCTCTGTCTGTCTGTCTGTCTGTCTGCCTGTCTGTCTGTCTATCTATCTATCCCTCTCTCTCTCTCTCTCTATCTCTGTCTGTCTGTCTGTCTATCTATCTTGTTTTCTTTCTATCTATCTCTCTATCTCTCTGTCCGTCTGTCTATCTATCCATCCATCCATCCATCTATCTTATCTATCTATCTATCTATCTATCTATCTATCTATCTATCTATCTATCTATCTATCTATCTAATCTATCTATCTATCTATCTGTCTGACTGTCTGTCTATCTATCTATCTATCCATCTCTCTCTCTCTCTCTCTGTCTGTCTGTCTGTCTATCTATCTATCTCTCTCTCTCTCTCTGTCTGTCTGTCTGTCTATCTATCTGTTTATCTGCAAGCTTGAAAACGAAGCTATTCTGCGAGACTTCCTCAATTTTTGAACTTGACACCATCCAAAACGAAGCAGTTCTGGGAGACATCCTCAATTTTTCAAAGTTGACAACATCAAAAACGAAGCAATGCTGCGAGACCTCCTCAATTTTTCAAAGTTGACAACATCAAAAACGAAACAATTCTGCGAGACATCCTTCAAAAATGGAAAGTTGAGTGCATAGCTGACGGCCTCGTACCAATGCGTTTTGCGATTTTTCCAGTCCACCTGTCTGAAATACTGCGCCTGCCACGAAAAAGTGATGCCAGGTCATACGAAGTGCTGCACCTGTCACGCAAAATCATCTCAGCAAACCTGAAGATCTGATGCTCCAAAATGCCACCCCTCTCAGGAAATCAGCGCCCGGACCTCCTAACAGCTCTGATGAACATGTCTCTTGTACTGCGCCTGCCACGGAAAATGCATCTTTGCAGATCCTCTTCAAATTGTCCCACGCCTGCCATCGTTTTTGGAAATGCTACAAAACCCTCACGTTTTGCTCACTTTTGACAAGGTCCACAATCCCTTGCGCCTGCCACGCGAAACGACATCTGAACGTCCAAAAATGGTCCGGACCTCGTGTGCTTTTAACATGTTGACTTCGAAATGTGCTTCGCGCCACAACGGCGTGCGCTTTTTCGACATCTCAACTTCCAAAAGCGGTCCGGACCTGGTGTGTTTTGTGCATTTTGACTTCGAAATGTGCTTCGCGCCACAACGGCGTGCACTTTTTCGACATCGCAACTTCCAAAAGTGGTCCGAAGCTAGTGTGTTCTGTACATTTTGACTTCAAAATGTGCTTCGCGCCACAACGGCGTGCGCTTTTCCGACATCTCTATTTCCAAAAGTGGTCCGAGAATGGTGTGTTTTGTACATTTTGACTTCGAAATGTGCTTCGCGCCACAACGGCGTGCAATTTTCATATCTCATCTGGCCAGCTGGCTCCGCACCCGCCGCTTTAGCGAGCCTACTTTTCGACCCTCTGGAGCCACAAGTCATTGGAAAAACACAATGTTTTGCGACTTTCCTACCTTTTCGCGCTCCTGCATCTTCTTTCTTCTGACTCTTTCTCTTCTCTGATCTTCTCTCTTCTGCTCTTCTCTTCTCTATTCTTCTCTCCACCTCTGCGTTTCATCTGTCCATATTGTCGGAAGTTTGACTTCTAAACTTCCTTCGGACCATACAAATCCTTGGATACAGGTCAAATGAATTGAACTGTAGGTTGAACCCAAACAAATCATCGGGATTTGCCTGTCCGAAAGGGGGGGATACCATCGCAAATTGGGATAGCTTTAGACAAGGAGCATTACTTCCAATTTCCGGATGTGTTGCCAAGCTGTACATTCGATCTTGAGTTCTCTCCACTTGTCCCAGTTTTCTGCTTTCAGTTCTCCAGGAAAACGTTGCAACCTTTTCTTTAGACACTAAACTTGGCAGGCAAACTTCGTCCAATTCGTCCAAGGCACCCATGTAGTAACGCCAGAACTCACCCCGATCCAACTGATCTTTTTCGCTCAACTGCATGTGCCTTGGAGAAAATGTGGAGACGTACTGGGGGAGAATCATCCGATTCCTCGTGGTTTAATGGCAAAAATTTGTGGTACAGTAAATCATTTACAGCACCAACCTAGGAGACAATTGTTGCTTACATAATAGTCATATAAGTTATATAAGTTTTATAAGTTATATATATATACATACCTGTATATTATCATATATTTGATATCGTCTATGATCTCCCACTTTCCCACTTTCTGGTTGGTTTCATCCCCAATTTTTGCCAAAATTGGTGCCAGCCAGGTGCTTGTTCATGGTGTTGAGCTCTGATCGTCCCCAGTCAAAGATACAAACCTCGGGGTTTAACCGGGTTGCTGTGATTCACCCAGCCTTTCACGGGAGATGCTTCGAAGTTCTCACCACGTTATGGAGTTGCGTGGTGCAAAACTGAGACTCGCAAATCCATTGATGCCTTATCTCAATTGACTCAAGGGAAACAGAATGGAAACAGAATGGGTTTATATTTACTGAAGTATCCTGCATTCTTTGACAAGTTAACTCGACTTCATCAACTCGGCTACAGTACTTCTCCATGGCAACAGATCCTGTGTGGACAGCTTGGAGCCAGGAGGATACACCAAGGATTCACCCACAAACGCTACCAAGAAGCCAAGGTCGACTTCCTCACTTCCTGCAAGGTCACAAACACATCGACACCTGCACTATTGAAAAGGCTAGCACACTGAAGGGGAAAAACCTGAACCGGCTGGGGCTTGCATAACTTTAATACTCACAATTACTTTCAGTTACTTTCATATTACTTCGCCTCCTGTGACTGCATCGCCAGCTGACAGCGGTCAGTGTCGAAGTCTCCCATGGTGCCAATGGTCGAATTTTATTGTACAAACCCATCAAGGAAAAAAATATCACCTAAGCTTCCTGGAACTAACGTTTTTTCACATTTTTTTGGGGGGATGGTAACTCCACCATGTTTCTATTCTAAGGACCACGGCGTCCTCCTCTCCGCCCTTGCGCTGCGGCAAGCTCCCAGAATCAAAGCCCAAGCCCACGGAACTGCCAATCCTGGAGATTTAGGAACTTCAATCCAACTATGGCGATGTGTACACGCACATACAGTAGTGTATACGGATAAAACTGTAATTCGAAAATGTATGTATATATATATATATACAATATACATTATATATGCACATAGAGACTGTATGTAAATATATACTATTTCTTTTGGCGAGATGAAAAGTTTGCAACTCGCTGTGGAAATTCGACATTTACAGTATTGAGATTTAGTCACCAAGTATCAACCCGGGAAGCTCAACGAAAAAACATTTGTATATTATATATATATTATATTATATTATATTATATTATATATTATATATATTATATAGTGTATATATATTATTTAGTGTATATATATTATATAGTGTATATATATTATATAGTGTATATATATATTATATTATATATTATATTTTATATATTATATATTATATATTATATATTATATTATATTATATTAAATTATATTATATATTATATATATTATATATATTATATATATTTTATATATATTATATATTATATATTATATATATTATATATATTATATATTATATATATTATATATTATATATTATATATTATGTATTATATATTATATATTATATATTATATAAGGTGCACAGCTCTGCATTTTTCACCCTTTGCTTCAGAGTGGTGCATAGGCTGATGGCGTCGCACCTTTCAAATTGTTGGCATCCATCAGCAGAAATGAATTCGAGCATGGAACTGTGGATTTGGTGGTGCCAGGGGTGGTCGGTGGGTACGGCTTGAGAGGGTGCATTACGAGACCATTCCCCTTAAACATTCAAGGTGCACAGCTCTGCATTTTTCACCCTTTGCTTCAGAGTGGTGCATAGGCTGATGGTGTCGCACCTTTCAAATTGTTGGCATCCATTTTTTCCATTCTGTACTCCTACCTAGTTCCATGCGAGAAAAACCAAGCCCATGTCGTGCTTGGGAACTGTGCTCTATGAAACGAAGCTGCCACTTCTAACACCTCTGGAAACATCTCCATTGCCTGCAGTACTTTTGCCTTCGCATCTGTGTGCAGATCATTGAGATAAGTAGCCGCAGCTACTTCCTGAAGGTATATTTCCATAGATCTAAAACTCGCCCAGCGACCTCTGCGCCGGACAAGCTCAGCAGACTCCGTTGCAGTGATCAACCAAGTGGCTTCGCCTGGGCGCAGCGAAGCCAGTGTCAGTGGTTTTGGTTTCTGTCCTGCTCGAACTGGAAGGCCTAGTTTCTCCAGTACCTTGTTCAGTCGATTTCGAAGTGTGGCTCCAGACATAGGCCAGAGCTGGTCACCTTTCTTCAGAGTTCCAAAACCTAGTTCAATCACTGCTATGAGATCTGGCTGTTCAACTTTTCCTGCTTGATGACGGGCGGCTCTAAATCTTGTCTTTGGCTCCTTGATTCTAATTAGGGCAAAGCTATTTGTTCCAGCAACATCAGATGGTAGGACCAAATCTTGACGAACTGCTTGGTAAACCTCCCCAATACGAAGCAAGGCTCCCCATGCCAAAGCAATGCATGCTGCTTCTTGGCGCCAACCCCAAAGAAGCATGACAGACAGGATTGCGAGCAAAACTTGGAACGGCATCGACACATGGTGTTCTGTTGGCTCAAAAGAACCCCATAGAAACGCAAGGTCCCAAGCTTGTTGAAGGGATCTTCGTAACACTGGCCTCCTTGCAGCTACAGAATTGATTGTCTCACTGAAGTGGAAATATGGCTTGCCTTCACGAAACAAGAACCTCCCATATTCAGTAAGATGCTGGTTGATAGAGTCCAGGTTTGGGGGGTTCGCCATGAAAATCTCCTCAAAATCATAGCTATTCCAAATCAACCAGCTCTTGAATCGCTCCAGCAAATCAACTCGTGCTGCGACAGTGGCTTCCGTAGTGCGTCTTCCATCTCCCAGTGTCACACCAGCTCTGGCAGCTTGTCGCATTCGATCACCATGGCTAATTCCTCCCTTTGGAGGCACCGCACCTACCCCTACAGACAAAACCCAAATCCAACCAGACAATCTAAAAGATTGACAGAGACACGGGAGGAGGAAGATGATGATTTGGGGGGAGAGGCATAAATCCAAAACCAGGCCCCTCTCCTGGGAACCCCAAAGTAGCATCAAAGTCCATGTAGGCAAGTGGTGATGGCAAGTGTGTAATTGGATGAATGCGCAGACACTCCTGGGAGCAAAAGAAAAAGGGCAGATCTGGATTGAGGAGGAGAACAAGGCGTATCCAGTTAGACGCCCATCTCCTACTTTTTGATACCTTCTGGATCCACTGCAAGGCCTTTGCTGGGAGCTTTCGGAGGATTGATGCAGGCACTGGAGGGGGGATATCAGTATCTCGTGAAGGATGGTCAGCTGGCATGATCCTTGTAGGAGTAAACCTCCCTGCCATATATAGTCCGTATGCAACTGACAAGGCCGCACTCTGCCTCAGGAAAGGTCTGAGGGCGTTGGAAGATGTCCTGCCTCTCATCATGCTGGATCTGGAAACATGTGAGTCACCAAGATAAACTGTCCTGCTGTCACCACCTTCACATGCCAAACGCCTCATCAGCCTCAGTGTGCTGGCTGTCTCAAGCAAATTGATATGGGAGGCGCCTTTCCATCTCCAAGCATCAGTCTTTTTCCAAGGAAAAGCAACTGCCAAGTCATTTGAAACTGGGTCTTCTAGCCCCTCCACCTTCAGCGCACACTTCTCCTCAGCCTTCTTCAGAGCATCCAAATGCTCTCTGAAAACTTTCGCGATCGCCTCTGCCAATGCTGGGGTGTATGTGGCAGAGGGTCGCGTGTATTTGCCCTCAATCCTCACATGAAAGTGGTCTCGTGTGCAAGGTCTTGCCAGGGACTCTGTGCTCATGTTGATGGATAAAAAGGAGAACTCCTTCATGTGGATAGAACCATACGCACAAGATGCCAGTGAAATTTCTGAAGCACCCAGCGCATACATGTTTGTCCACATTGTCAGCCTCTTCATCTTTGACCTTCGAGTCTGCTCCAACATCCCAAAAGAGTGAGTCCTTCTGCATGTAAACAAGATACTGATTCCTGCTCCCGCCATGAGGTTCCCATGCAGCACCCTAGGGTGTGTTCTGTCAAAGCCCAAGGGATTCTCATAGCTCCTCAACGCTGGATACGCAGCAGGACTGAAAGTCGTACAAGGGGGAGCAATCATGACAGCGAGGATCCGTTTCTCTTCCAACATGAAATTGAGCCATTGGATAACCCTGAAGTCTCCCATATTGTAATGCCTGCTGTATGAAATGTCCAGCACTAGTGCACAAACAATCCCCAACTCAATGGCATACTTGGTGACGACTCCTGCTCCTCCAAATACTTCACAAAATTCAAACCTCAACCCAATAGGACGTGGGACACCTTCATGCATGACCTCAACCTCTGGAAAGCCATAGCACTTCTGCTCGTAGTTCTCATCGTGAGAATGGAGGACAGCGGCTGCTCTGTTCAACAAAGGGACATTTGCACCTTTCTTGTCAGAGGACCTCCAGAGAAATTTTGCAAGCTCACGATCAACCGTGGTTTGCGCAATGCCTCCCATAGTGTTCGAAGCGTCTGTCGCATAGATGACTGGGTTCATTGCCGCTGCAAGATTTGCACACATAACTGGCATCAGCGCAGCTACCAAAGCTAACTCCTCAGCAGCAACTCTACTGAGAGGCCAGAGGACAGGCCTGTTTGGGTCGAGCTCCTCAGGAGGTATCACCCTGAAAACTTGGTGAAGGATTGCCATCAAAGGTCTCCTGAACATCATTGCAGACACAATTGATCCAACTAGGCTTGAATGAAGCGCATCGCTGGTATAGGGGAGTGATGCGGAGACTGCTGCAACTGTGGCAAGTGCTAACCTTTTCTCCGCTGGAACCCCACAAACAACAGCTCCATCTCGCACTATCTCTTCCCTTGAATCAACTTCTGCTCCAACAATTTTGAACCTCAGCTCACCCCAGACATCTTTGTCATCAGACCCCAGAATACCTTCTTGTTGGTATGCTGCCTTTGCCCTCATCATCCTCTCTTGCGCCTGCAGAAAGGCACATGAATCACTGGCGCTGCTGCCTTTTGCAACCACAAAATAATCGTCTATCACCAGACCCTCTGTGACTGCATCATCCAAAACTGCTGCATCTGAAACATGCCGAGTGCACGGTTCAAGGAGGTTGGAAGCTGAAAGCAAACCCTCATGCGCACTGCAGGCTATCTCAACTCCTAGATGATCTCCCTGAAAAATAGCTGAAAACGCCACTGCGACAAGCGACTCATCATCAACTAAGATGCTCCTCTGGCAGCCGTGCAGAAAATCACCTGCAGCCTCTCTGCCTGCTCTTCTTGCTCGCACAAACCTAGATTTGCAATCACCATAGCCCTTCAAACCACGAAACTTGGAAAGCTTAAAGAGAGGGTAGATCACATTGCTCCTGCTCCTCTCCCACGTGGTCTGGAACTGATGGTAAAAATCTTTGCGGTCTGTTGCAAAACCCCTCAATACCTCCTTATATGGCTCTGGCATGATCTGAAGCAAAGAAACCCCTGTGGGCAGGCTATGTGAAGGGCCTTCTGCAATCTTCCCTTCAACATAGTTTTTGCCTCTGCGATCGCCGATCTGTCGGTCAGCTAGGGGGTTCTTGTAGTTGTTGAACACGCGAGTGTAAAGCCGTGGGTCTTGCGGGCATAGGTCAGAGGGGATGAGTCTCAAAAGATCTTTCTCATCCCACACTCTCGCAAGATTGATGGTCTCCTCAGGATCTTCCGCAAGGACATTGGGACACTCCTCCCTGGGGGGTAGGATGTCAAACTCATTGAACTTCGGCTCTTGAAAGGGCATGAAGAACAGGTCATTCAAAAACGGCACACAATCCCACTGGCCCTGTCCTGTAATCTTGAGGCGTGAGGCCTGCAAACTCCTGTAGGGCCGTAGCTCCTCTGCCTGGTCATTGCAAAGGCCAACAGGAGCTCCAGCACTGCTCTGATGATACTTAGACTTCTCATCAAGCCCGCACCTGACTAGGACTTCAAGCAGTTCATTGGTTCTTGCATCTAATTGAAAACTCTTCCGTCCACACCCTGCCATTGTGGCAAAATTGGATAGGACGCTCGCCTTGATGAGCGTCATCAGCCTTCTGAATACCCGCAGGTGGTGCTGATTAGGACGCCTCCGAAGAAGCCCCAAACTAGCCAAAGGAGCCCTGTCATGCAAGAAGTTGAGCGCCATCACGGCAACATGTAAGAGCTTCCTCCTCGCCCGCAAATTTCGAGCTGCGCTGTTCATCTTCTTCGGGCCTCCACTCCAAACGCTGGAAAATGGAAAAGGAATGGGAAACAAGGCGGTTGAGAGGCTGTCATCATGACCCCCTCGGCAAAGGGTGATGGATCTCAAGAGGTAGAGAGAAAATGAAGTCCTTGAAGCCAAAAGCCTCCTGACCTGTACCTCGACCCAGATTGGAATAGGCACTTTACCAGGCAATGCTTCCGGAAAAATGCCAAGTTGTTTGAATTCTTTTGCCTGGGTCTGCCTGCCCCCATCCTCCTCCTCCCCATCCCAAGACGCCTGCCTGTCACGCAAGGCCACAGTTGGCCCCGTTGATTCACCTCTCCCGAAAATCACGGTCCTGGGAAACCCAGGCCGCGCTGACATAGAAGAGCTCGGTGAAGGATCCTCAACGGTGCCAGGACTCTCCTCTAGTCCTTTGGGGCCTCTGCGTTGGCTGCGTTGGATGATCCTGCGGTTCCTCCTCCCTGCCATTTTGGCTTCCTTTTTGGTTTTGGCTTTGGCGTAGCATTGGAGTTTTCCTGAGCTGGCACTGGATAGGTCTTCTTGTTCATCTCTGCCTTCCTGTTTTGAATATAATCCAACTCTTTCGCATACGCCAATGCCACTGTTGCCCATCGCTGTGCACAAAGAGGGGCAAAAGCCCTCAGTCTCGACTGAGCCGCAGCCGATCTGAAAGCCCACAGCTGGGTGGGGGGCTCTTCCAGCAAGGTCAGCTGGTAAGCCAGATCCCAGCGGTTGCCATCTTGCACTGCCTGCTCGATGGCCGTCATCGTCAATGCTAGATGCTCCCTGACCCCCTCCATATCGTTGTTCAAAGCTGCATCGAACACATGAGCCAAGCTGTATTGAACCAGCCCCATCTCGCGACAAGCACCGTAGCCACCGAATTTCTCTAAGTAGGTGACCATTGACAGCTCCATGTTCTGTGCTGCTTCTAGGCTGGTCGGCGGCCTGGTGGCAGGTTTCATTCTCCTGCATGCATTTTGAACAACTGCCAAGAAAAAATTCCCTGACCTGTTGGCGAGCTCTAGCTGCAGCTTTTCTCTGCCTTGGGCCCCCCTGGACCCCAAGGATATCCCTGAGGCACTTTGCTGCCCATCCAACAGAGGGTCTCCTCCTTGTTGTAATTGGCTGACCAGGTTCGTTAAGGCCCTTGACTGCTCCAAAACTGCCTGAGCTAGAATCCCTCCTCCTGGCATTTGCTCCTCCATGCCCTCTCCTCCTTCCTCGATCTGAGCCTGGAGTGGGTCTTGGTGAGGTGGCTGCGCAACTAAGGCCCGAGTGCGAGGGGGGCTTCCAATCATCTTGGCAAAACTCTGCAGCGGAGCCGAAACTGGCTGCTGGCTGGCTCTCGGCGGGACAGCTTTTGCTTGGGCCTCCCACTTGGCCCTCAACTCCTCTTGGCCATCTTTGAGAGATGCAACCTGAGCTGTCAGCAAGGGAAGGATCTCTGAAATTGACCCTAGCTGCTCTGCCAAACTCGTGGTCGTGATTCTCTTGGCCTTTGGCTTTGCACTTGTTTTTGGAGATGGCATCATGGGAGGCTGCAGATGAGGCTCCTCCAAAAGTGCTTGGTCTTCTACCGCAGAGTAAAATACTAGGGCAGGATCTTCCTGGCTCTGCAAAAGCCATGCCCTCGTAGCAGTCATCAAAGGCTCGACTGCTGGCAACACGGCGGGGTCTATGGCAAAGGTTGTGACCCCCTCGGGAACTGGGCTTGGCATGACAGATATGTAATTGAAAGCCACTGTATCTGCATCCACTACCAAGACTTCGATCACTTCCTCTGCAAAAACCCTCTCGAGAAGGGACTTGGAACGTGGTGTGAGGACCAAACATTGAAAAAGGATTTCCTTCTGCTGCTTCTGCTAACGCATCTGCCGAAAGGGCTCCTGAGGGAAACACGAGAAGGGCACCACCTTCTCGTTTCAGCAACACCAAAACTTGGCTCATAATGCTTTCTCCAGGATCCCCTTCTAAAACTTCTACATTCATCATCAAAACTGTATCCACATCTTCCTCGTAGGTCGGGAAAGTCATGGTCGCCATTGATGTGGCACTTCTGGCAAGGAGAATCCGGCAGCAAGGCAATAGATCTTCGCCTCACTCTTTGATGCAAAGCCGTGGGACAATGTGCCCTTGAAATCCTTGACAACGGAGCGGTAAATGGCCGCTGTTTCGCAGAGCAAAGGGCAACTGTAGCCTTCAGCCTGAAGAACGATGTAGACTGAATTTGGCAAATCGCAAGGCTTGCTGGGACGAGGTTTTCCGATCTTTCCTTCCAAAACGAATCTTGCCCAATGACCTGCCTCCCAGGCCCTGATAGCTCTGTCTTTTTTGGAAACCTTTCCCTCTCGGAGGGTGCTGCAAAAATCCAAAGCCCAAGCAGGCAAAGCAGGAATCTGACCAGCAAGGAAGTCGTATTGGGAACTGGTGGACTCAGCGACAGAAGCCGCAGAGCCAGCTGAGTGATAGGGACCTGGTTGATGGCCCCGCTCAATCCTATCCAACCTGAGGGAAAGGTCAGCCACCTGGATAGTCAGCAGTTCAATTGAGTGGGCCAGATCAGCTAGTTGAGATGCAAGGCCGGTGGAATCCAGGCTCATTCAAATACCCCCTCAGCCTGGAGCGGTTCCCTCCAAATCCAAAGGGGAAAGGAAAAGGCCGGACAGGCCTGGGAAGATGAGAGAATCCCCTCCAGAACCAAAAGATAAGGAGAAATCCAATGGCGAGAGTGATAGAGATCCCAGAGGAGAGGCCAGCAATGAATGAGAGAAGCAGTGAGAAGATGGTCGGTGGACCGCAGTGAGAGGGACAGGCAAGTCCAAAGAAGTGAGTGGAAGAGGCCCACGACAGAAACTCTCCGACTTCAACCAAGGACGACAGGCTTGACCCCATACGGCTTGAGAGGGTGCATTACGAGACCATTCCCCTTAAACATTCATTATATATTATATATTATGTATTATATATTATATATTATATATTATATATTATATATTATATATTATATATTATATATTATATGTATATTATATTATATATATATCATATATTGTATATATATATATTGTATTTATATCAATCATATTATATATATATATATTATATTATATTATATTATATTATATTATATTATTATATATTATATTATATTATATTATATTATCTTATATTATATTATACTATATTATATTATATTATATTATATATATTATATTATATATATTATATTATATATATATTATATATATATATTATATATATTATATATATATATTATATTATATATATATATTATATTATATTATATTATATATATATATCATATATTGTATATATATTATATATATATATATTGTATATACATCATATATTATGTATATATATATATATTATATATATTATATATCATATATTATATATATCATATATTATGTATATATATATATTATATTTTATATATATATTATATATATATGTGTGTGTGCAGGCATTTTCTCCCAACAAAAGAACATGGCAAAAATCACCATATGGATAACTACCACTAACTTGGAATTTGATCAACAACTAACAAGTAGATGTGCCAACTCAGATGGGGCTGTTCACCAAGAACGAGTATACGATAGTATACGAATAAGTAAATATGTTCGAATATTCTCCCAACAAAAAATGGAAATGTAGCCAGCGATCATTTCCCCACAAAAAAAAATAACACTCCGAGTTGCCCTCAGCTATGGGTAGTTGCCGCCAATTTACATGGTTTGTCCAGCCTTGCTCCATGGCAACTCTGAGGTTCCGGGCCACTTCTGCGGCACGGGACTTCTGCGACAGGCCACCGCTAAGCCACACAGGCTTCGCACCGCCTATGGGATTTCCGAAATCATTCAAACGAAATTCCCTCGATGGTATGCAAATTGGGAATCTTCCAGGAATCGCAGTGAGAAAATGATCCAAACAATGGTTGGGACCTTCCAGAAACATGTCCCATCGGAGGGTAAGCACTACAGCTCCAAAATGTCTTGCTCCATGGTTGTTTTTCCAGCTTGCAGCAGATACCCAAAAAACAACAACGTTCTTGGTTCTATCCCAATCATGTATTGACTGCTGCATCAGACTCTTCAATTTTGTTGCTTGGAATGCGTATATCAAAATATCATATTCACAATTTCTATAGATATATTTACATACAGTACATATCATTTACTTTATTAAACATACAAATCATATATCTCCAACTACCCAGCGCTCCCAACTCGCTGGCCGCAACGCAATGGCGTTCACTCTTGTCGGGCCTCATGGCACACAATCTCGGCCACCTCGGTGGTACAGAGCTGCAGCTTCAGCTTCTCATTGGGCACATCCGACCTGGAGATGGGGATTGGGAGAATGATCTGAATCAGTCTGAAACCCCGTTTAGAGTGAGAATGTTTATGATATTTTGATATGAATAATGGAGACGATCATCGGCTTTTCTTGCAGAATTTTGGTTAAAGATGGTTAAAGCAGTTCTTGGATTGTTCTATCTAATAAAGAAAGTCACTAAGTTCAAAGTTCTTGCTATACAGTCTTAGCATGAGCATTTAGGTGATGTACCTAGACTAGTTACCATAATTTGCAGACAGATTAAATGCCAGCCGTTTACCCTCTGGTAATTTAACATAGCTATTGAAAATCACCATTTTCAATGGGAAAATCCACTATTAATGGTCATTTTCAATAGCTACGTTAAATTACCAGAGGGTACATATCACATTGATATATTGGATCCCAATCATTTCAATGACAGAACAAGTGACAATTCCATTTCAAGCTGCTTAGAGAGCACTTTCGGGCAAGAGCCTCTTGCCCCATTTTCTGCAAGATGCTGTGTTTTATTCGGCTACTGTATGTCTTCAAAAAAAACACTGACCGTCAATGTGTGGGGTGGAAAAATTACCAAACTTGTGATCCATTTTGATTTTGGTTCAATGAAAAATATCAATTGTTAGTTCGCATCCTAAGAGCTCGTTAACATTCCAATCATTAACAGCAAATTAATATACAGTCGGACAGTAGGTCTTACCAGTTTTATTTAACTGTGCCATTCTGAATGGATATCCCACCAAGGAAATCGCAACAATAGATTGTTTTCCCAGACTCAAAAATATTTGGTATCTCAATTGCTAGCAAATATCCCAATTTGTTGATATTAAATTTCTTCAGTATTCCAGTCAATCTTCCAAGTCAGACCATGTCCAAATTACATAATATTCCAAATATTGTCCCCACTCATGTCCCAATTCATACTAATCGAAATATTGGTTGACAACCCCAAGTTCTCATTGTTGTTCCATGATGTCCCATTACATTCCCATACATTCCCATTTACACCTCCGTTTTTGCTGGCGAAATCCATATTGTTAGTTGGCTTTAGATCCTACTTAAATCTATTTATATTCCCTTTATACTGTACCACCAATTGAACCACGATTCTTGTTGGTTATTCTTGATGGCCAAACAATGTTCGACCACCATTTTTTGGTTGAATCAATCCTTATTTGCGTCGCTTCATTCCTTGTTTTTGCTGCTTAGTGAAATCCTAATGTTTGATGCTGAAACCACCATTCTTGTTGAGTTAAATCATCATGTTTGCTGTTTAAAAACCAACCCCAGTCACTGGTTTGTTGGTGAAATCACCCCAGTTGCCAAGTTGCGGGCCAAGTTGCGGTTCCTGATGCAGGTCGAGCCAGTGGAGTAGCATCTCCGCCGCTGGCATCCGCTGGAGCATCACCCGCAGAGCCTGCAAAACTGACGCCCAACTGGGGTTGAAGCAACAAAACAAGGGGATTGCAGTTGAGCATAGCGCAACAAAAATTGAATGATTTATATAGCTTGAATCACTTGAATCAACAAAAATCTGAAGACTCAACCAACTCAACTAAGTCCCAGAAATTGGATGATTTAAAATTGTGCTTAATCCTCAAAATGACCACATTCAACCCAAAGTTTGAACCCAGGTCCTATATCGGGATCCTGAAAATCAAGCCTGGGTGACCTTGTCCAAGTCCATTGATGCGGATCCAAGGTCCAAGTCTGAAAATCCGCCGACCCCGGCTACCCTAAAACCCAGTGGTTTTGTTCACAGACATTACCAAGATGGTAATCTGAGTGGTTTACAAAAACAAATCAGAAAACTATAAAACTATGAGTGGTTAGAAAAATTCCCCTATTCAACCGTTCAAAAAGACATTCGTTATAAGAGACACACAAAAACCCAACGCGTTTCGCCGTTTCGTTTGCAGAAAACGCTGGCCTTTTTCGCCATCTTGGCATTGCCTGTCATCCCCAGATCCAGCAAAGGGTCCATGGACTCCAAAGCTGGCGGTCGACCATCGAAGCCCTGGAAAACTCTGAGGATTTTCCAGGTGAAAAGGTGGTTCAAAACGCCTGAAAAATGCGGAAATTTCGCATGAAAAACTCCCGAAGCTTTTCAAATTTCCTTAGTCAACCAATGTCAACCATCAAGGGATCACTAAAAGTCCATGGAAAAACTCAAGAAACAACGCATCTCCAAGGGCCAAAGACCAGCCTCTAAGCGGAAGCCCTCGCAGCTGGAATTGGTGATGCCATCCACCATGCTCTGCCGCAGCGCTGCCACTCGGGACTTGCCTTGCCATCCAGCCTGACGAGAGCTTGAGACCGGGAGGACCTGAAAATGGAAGAAAAAACGTATAGTTAACCATAGTTAACCATAGTTAACTATAGTTAACTATAGTTAACTATAGTTAACTATGGTTAACTATGCTTAACCAACAACTATAGAATTAAAGTATGAAAAATGGAGCTCGTCCAGAATCATCTGATCCTATGATCACTCTGCGATTGGAGATGAAGAATTGCCAGTCTCCGACAGCCGCAGTTTCCACTCTTCCAACAGTCAAGGACAATGTCTCGCCTGAGCAGTTTTCTGTCCAATCTTGATGTCCAGAAAGCGGTGCTTAGAGGAGCCGCAGCGCAGATTTCGCATCACTAGCAGCTCCGTCTTCTTCTCCCCAGCACTGGTCTCCTGTCAGCAACAAACTGCCAAAAACTGATGCTTGGGTGGGAGATTGTTCAGTGAGAACATGATATCCATGGCTGATGTTTTTATTAAGCCTTCCACCATTCACCAGTTGCCTGCCTCGGTGTTGGTCAAGACACCAGCATATTCTAAGGTGTAGCTGAGCAAGGGCCCAAGACCTGCCATGGGCCAAGGGAAAATGTCATTGGATCCTTCATGAGATACTGATAGAGCATCGAAACAACGGACCGCTAAGTGTAGACTCGACTTCGAGTGTGAAAAAAATTGGATGTGAGGTGGCCAAGCTGATTGCCGCACCAAACATCATCTGGCCACCAAAAAAGGACTCTGATGCAACTTCCATGTCAGAATATGAGACCTCAAGAGTTCCTGATTACCCACCTGGGATCATAAATATATGATATCCATTGATGTCCCATCATTTCCGAATCATTTCCCATCCCACTCATTCCACTCATCCCACTGGCCCGACCTGCTACACCGGGCTGACGTTTCAGAGCCAAAGCTTCCTCATAGAAAGTCACTTCATCCTCCGCATGGCTCAAGTCCTGGCTCTCGACGTAACGAAAGGAAGTTTTCTGTGGTCAAGCTTTTTTTGTACCCACCATTTGGGGATAGTTTTTATGTACAAAAAAACCTACCATTTATGGTAATAATATGGTAATACTATGTAATACTGGGGGTGATTAGTTTATACCTTGGGAAAATGCACATTGCAACAAACTGAAAAAACTGTTCTGCCAAGCTTTTGAAACCTCAAAGCCTTCCCAGTGACAAGAAATGCCCCTGTCCATCCCTGTCCTTGCCGATAAAGTAGTCCCTAGCTCGGCCACTTCCGGGTTTCAAATGCAACTTGAAAAATGCGGCGCTGCCACCCGAGACACCCAGCCGCTCGATGGGTCCCTGACGTGGCGAAGCTGAAACCCTGCTCGTTTGGGCATCCTCCAACATCCCCCAGAAACCACGGTTTAGTAGGAAATGCCCACATATTTGGAACTATTTTGGGGTTTATATTGGGCTGGGGTTCTAGTTCTGTGGGAGCCTCGAAAAGCCCCTCGTCTACGCGACTGAGACCGGGAGTCTTGCCACGGCCAAGAACGGTGGTTTGCACCATCAGCGCCTCACCAGGGGACTCCATCGCGAAAGTTTACTAGCAAATGGACCTGTATGGAACCTGTAACAACCATCACGGATAGGCAGGTGGGCCACTGCTCAGCTGGAATCTACAACACATTGAAATATTACTGTGCGGGATGAAACTGCACTTGAACTTGCTCACATCCAGGCACTCTGGGCGGAGGTGAATGAGAACCCAAGGTAACAACATACATGCCATAGGAGGTAAACAAACAAATTCAGCTTATGTTGGCACCCACCAAACTCACCAAACTCACCAAACTCCACCTAGAAAAATCCAACTTTGGGAACCCATTTTCGACGATTTTCATCTCCACATGTTTGATCACCGGGAGCACACGCCCCGCGGCCCCGCCTGCACAAAAACATGACCTGTGACCTCTGGCTCACAGGTTGGCCCTGAGGCCTCGGCGAACATATCGGAACATCATATTGATATTGATATATATATATATGCAATATATGCAATATATGCAATATATGCAATATATGCAATATATGCAATATATGCAATATATGCAATAATATATAGATACAATATATACAATATATGATATTATATGTAAATAATTGTAAATATAGATGTCCCTTCTGGCCTCAAAAAGGCTTCCCCCCTTGTACTTTAGGAACACTTCACTTCGTATGCGAGGCGGAAACTCATTTCAGCTGACTGAAGTTGAGATCTGCGAGATGGTCGCAGTTGATTTCATCCAAGCTACAAGACCTTCGACATATAATTGGCTGCGTCGCGAACTATATATGGCTAAGTTTGAGACACTGACACTGGTAACTATATTTTACGCCAAAATGGTTCGCAGTTGTGGATGTTAATCCCCTAAAAAATTGATTTCACCTGTATGGATCCATCCCGATCCATCCGCATATGTTGAGGTTCGCCTTCTTTCCCATGCCCATTGACGAATCAAAGGTGGTGGTCCAGAAACACATGGCAGGCCGATCCTGCCCAATCCTGCGGCCATATGGTTTTGTCTGAAAATTTGACTAAACCAATGCACTGATCATCGTATTCCCTCTTAACACCACTATCTTTGGGGTATCTGCAGTATCACCATTTTGGGGCTAATCTATATATCCTCCTCTCTACTAGAAAAATTCTCCGCGGAGCCAACTTTGTCGTAGACAAGTCGCTAGCTTCAGCTCCAGTTTAAGAACCTGGGATTTCAGGAACGGATGTTGCCATCGATTTCAATGGGACTTTTTGTAACCAAAAATGGGCATCACTATCACAAAATGTCCAATAAAGCTGAGCACCATCAGCTCAGAAAGTCAAATTATGAAATGACCTGTTTGCAGCTGCAAAATTCCCCAGCAAAAAAGACCTCGAAAAGGACTTCGTTGACACGTCCGCTAGGATCTTAATAGATTGACCTACCCAAAACCTTTTGCCAAGCTATCTGACTCAAAGTGTCGGTCAAAACCCTGCCAAGCATCAAAACCCCTTTTGGATATGGTTGCGGGTCAAAAAGTTGCCATGATTCAAATCATATTCAAATCAAACATATTTTAAAAAACAACCAAAAACATGAAAATCAGTGACTCCCAGATGTTCCAAAAAACCAAGGTACAGGACCAGTGGCTGTGCCCACCTCTGAGGTGGGCTCAGGGGCCAAGTCTCCAATTGAGATCTTGGCCGCACCACAAAAGCTGGGACGCCCTATGACGTTGCCCTCCATGACCTGCTGAAGATGCTGAAGTTGGACCAAAACATGGAAATGCCAAGACCAGCGAAAAAAAAAAAACAGGGTCCGAAGGTCCGAAAGTGGGGTTGGTTTAATCCCCATTGACCAAAATCAGAGGTCCGACATCAGACGAAAGGCAGCGCCTGGAATTCCACCATGGTGTTGCCGGCCATTTTAAATGGCTGGCCTCGACAGGTATGGTCCCAATGAGGATGCCTCAGTAAACCAGTCGTGGCTTTACCAAGGGTAAGCTTAGGCTACACCTTGGGTATGTGTCGTGGGTACAAATGGACCCACCAACTGGTCTCTTCACGGCCGAGACTCATATCTGCATTCCAGTCAATCCGGGTCCGTGCTATCTCCTTTCCTTAGATGCAATGTCACATCACTCCCAGGAACGGGACAAAACGAGACCACAACCAACATAGGTGGTTTGTACCAAAGAAACGGCCTCTGGAAGCCGAAAATACCAAACTGTGAAGCAGTGAAATAACAATTTAATTATGCCATTTCGGTTCGTCTGATGCCCTGCTACTGCATATATACATAATATGTCCAAACACCCATTATATAGATGTACAACGTAGTATTTTTAAATATACACATATATACATATATACATATGTGTGTATGTATATATGTATATATGTGTATATGTATGTATGTATGTATGTATGCATGCATGCATGCATGCATGTATGTATGTATGTATGTATACATATATATATATATATATATATACGTTTGTATGTATGTTTGTATGTATGTATGAATGTATGTATGTATGTATTTGTCCAACATGTTTTGGGCTGACCACTGCTGCATGAATGTGAACACCTTCACCACACCTTCACCTTCAAGCCTTGTTTTAACTGAGCGCTCAGCCGCAAGCTTTTTAACGCCAGGGAAAATGTCTCAAGCCGGTTGCGCCCTTACCCCTGTCCCTGGCCGACTCAAGCCATATGGGATGGCAGTCTACGGGTTGCCTCGAAGGCCCATCCAAGAGTCTGTCTTCTCCCGTGATAAAACATCAACTGGATTGAACTGGCTAGGAACTCTCTCAAACCATATTTGGCACATGGACTTTTCTTCCACTCGGAAGAGCTGAGCTAGGAGGTGGTTGTTGTTGGAATTATTAGACCAAGTTTTTAGGAAAGCCCCCCGGACAGATTCACTGTCGATAAACCCACCACTCGGTGGGATCCAAAGATTGGGCACTACAAGCAGTGCCAACATCTCTAGTTCTTGTATCAGGGTCACTTGACCATCGGAGCGTATATCAGCGATGAGCATTGGGCTGACTTCTTCGCTGAAGAAAAACAAGGCTCTACCATGGCTATCATACAACGCTCCACCGACCCCAGCGTAATCTCCCTCATCGAAGGATGCGTCCACATAAATGTGGACATGGTCGCTGAGGGATCCCATGATTTTTCGGGGCACATGCTTCTCAAGGTGAGCTCTGATGCTCTGCAGGGCTTCAGTCGTCTCTTCGGACAAATTGACTCTCCCAGATTGAATGTGCATGGACAGGAGACGAACTTGGTGGCGGGCGAACCGCCCGAACAGCTGGCCCGCGGCAAACAAAATCCTCCCTCGGAGTTTCTCTCCTTCGCTCCGCTTCAGGCGTCCGCTGCGGACGATTTCATCCAGTTTCTCACACAGCTCAGAAACGCGCTCTTCAGTGTTGAGAACGTGAGCTGCTAGGCCAACTCCAGACTGAACAAGGCCGAACTTCACTCCAAGCACTCTGCAGACTGTGTTGTACGCTATCAGTTTATCTGCTGACAAGCGCCATCCCAAGATGCCAAACAGGGATGAAATGAGTAAGTCCGTATGCCTGCAGGTGGCAACCTCAGTGAGGGAGAAAAAGTCGTCAAAGTAGGACGACCACATAAGGCCCAACAATTTAGTTCCAAGCTTCCACAAGGCCAATGACTCTCAAAAAGGCAATGCAATGACTCACGCTACTGACCCGAAGGGCAGCACCTTCTGTCCGTAGACTTCTGGGCCCCTTCGAGCAGGGGAGTAAACCACTAGGAAGGAGTCGAGCTCGTAGGCCTCATCACTAAGTGGCACCTGCTTATAAGCGTCGGCCAGGTCCCAAGCCTTTGCAGCCAGCTCGACTGTGAGGCCTGTGGGGGTGGCGGTTCTCATCACACAGGCTACCATAGCAGCAATGTGATCGACCAACGAATGACGACTTATAATTGTCGATGGGACGGGTTTTGGATTTTTGTTTCACCCCAAAACGTCTGGTGAGCGTTGCTCCCTCAGGGAGAGAAGCAGGGCTGATGGGCCCTTCAATGAACCCCGTATATATTTTGTTGCGGGTGGCAATGAGTCCCGACGACTTACTCATCTCAAGCATGCCGTCCCTGCACATGCCAGCCACCCTCCTGAGCTCTTCGCAAGAAATAGATGCAGGCCTAACTTTCCTGGAGAAGGAGTCGGATTCCGGTAGGGTTACAATTAGGCAAAAGCCCGTGGCCAGGTCATCGACCAAGTTGGTGTCGCCGTGACCAGCTTCTGCTAGGATTGTTCTGAGCAAGACCAGTTTCTTGTCTGCAACGATGTTTCGCCGACGTTCTGAGATGTTCCTTGAACTGTTCTGCCATGTGGATCCAGCGTTTGATCTCTTCAGTCCTTTCAAGGGCCATGGCACTGCAACCTGAACTCAAGCACTTGCGCACTACTTCTGAGATCTCATCAGGGAACATGGAGTGAAGTCTAGTCGGGTGGCCAATAAATATGGCTTCTTTGACAAATTCTTGAGGAGTCCTATGTATACCTATGGTTGTGACTTGGTTATCATAAGGTGCACTCGCGTTTGATACCCTGCTGGCAGGAGTGCAGCTGACCCCAGGTTGGGGGGTACTTAGTTTTCTGGCTTGGGATGGTATGGCCAGGTGAGCTGGTTGGGTCTGAATTGCAACAAACTCGGACACCATGGGCGGAAGGCCCTTGCGTGGTTGGATGCCTGTGGAGGCTCGCATCGTCTGAAGGTTAGCCACTAGCCGCTTGTAAGGCAAAGACCGGTGGTGCACAGGCAATTACACCTGATTGCAGCTGCTGGGTTATTTTGACGGCAATGGCTCTGCATAATTGCCAGGGATACGCGGTCCCTTCCGCTGTTCTCCAGCTTCCGTCGGGACTCTGTCCCCACGGCTCGTGGGTATGATCATTGAGACAAAATGCTTCCAGAGCGTTAAGTTGTGGCACGTTGTGTAGTAGTTCTGTGAGCTTGCGTCTTGCGCTTCCAAAATGACAGTGATGGAAAAATACTTCATACAAAGCAAATTCCTGCTCAAGTGCTTCAAAAGGTCTGGTCTTCCACATAAATGATCGGCCCGGGTTTTCGATGGAGAAGTAGGTGTCGTGGGCGACACACCATCGTACTAGCTCACCTGTGACGGCATATAGTTTGTTGGCCGATTCAACTCGTGCTAAGAGGGATCCGGACAAACTGGGGATGCCGTCTGGATACTGGTCGGTCCTTATGATCGGAGGGCTCCATCTTCCACGACGTTGGATGAGGCGTGCACGAGAACTGGTCCCGCAGGGTGGCGCAAAATGCACATACATGCATTGAGGTGAGGCTATCAGCTTCTATACAAGAGCCACATGTTCAGGATTCAGCAGGTCATATTTAATTTTGGGGCGCACAACTGAGATGGAAATTTACAATCCATGCGCACCAAATCTGTCTTACGGAGGGTCCAGAACCCCTCCATGCTTTCGATAGCAGGGCACAGCATACGTTGCTGGGAGGTTCCCATCGGGTATATGCAGTCATTGAGTTCGCATTCTGTGGGTTCTAAATCGAAGATCGTGAGTACGTCCCCCACAATCCACTCATGGTGTTATGGAGAAGTATCGAAATGCAGTAGGATAGTAAATTGGTTCGGCGGCAGATCACTCATCTTGGATCAGCAGCCACACGAAGATAAACACCACAGTGAGGCCGAGTCCAACAATCACTCCAGAAAAGAAGCCCTTGAAGAAGCCCTTGAAGAATCCAGATGGGCGAACAATCGGCAGCAAGGCAATCGGCGAAGATGTAGCCACCAAGCCCCCCTCACGACATGCGCGCTGGCGCTGACGCATGTGAGGTAGATAGGTAGATAGGTAGATAGGTAGATAGGTAGATAGGTAGATAGGTAGATAGAGAGATAGAGAGATAGAGAGATAGAGAGAGATAGAGAGGGATAGAGAGAGATAGAGAGAGATAGAGAGAGATAGAGAGAGATAGAGAGAGATAGAGAGAGATAGAGAGAGATAGAGAGAGATAGAGGGAGATAGAGAGAGATAGCGAGAGATAGAGAG